TGAAGGAGTGTGTCTTAATTGAAATTGCGATATTAATAGAACTGACAATGGAAAAAGGCCTAAAGTCTCCTGATGTATTAATTTATCGTTATTCTGAGTATTAATCAACGAAAACATTTTGTTAGTTGAAACTATAAATGTTTATATGTCAACTTTCGGAGTCGAATGTGTAAGATACTGAAATTGAGTGTACTCATTATCAAAATACTGACTGAAGTCTTTCACGTTGGAATTATAATATAGTTACCTGGGCCTAGCTACAAAAAAAGCATTACAACTGCAATATACAAGGAGGATCAATTTGAAGACTGAAGAAATTAGGGGATTGGAATTCTTAGTTAGGCCCCACTAGTGGCTTCGATGAATATTGAGAGTAGTATGGGAATGACTCGAAAGACATGCCAAGACACATATCATCGACTTTATGTATATATAGGTATTGAACCAGCTGGGGTTGTACCAAAATCATTTGTCCAGAATAGCCCAAGAACAAAAAGTAACAATGAGTGATGGGCATATATTTTTAAACAGTCCGAGAGAAAAATAGAAAGCAATGCTTCAACAGAATATGAGTTGTCTCACAATAACAAGACTAGTCAGTGTAGACGTGGAGGACAGCTGAACAAAAAAAAGGAGTTGTATTAACTAGTACAGGAAACAAGTATTTTAGAATAAGGTGGACAGTAAATAAGCCATAGAGCCTGCATTGTTTTCAGGTGACTTTATTCAAATGGAAAAGTCAGCCGGTTCCCAAGCAGCCAATAAAGCTTTCAAAGATACCGTTTCCGGGTTCCAAGTTGATTGGAGCGAATAGTTGCAATGCGCTAATTAGAAGAGAGTGGAAGCTTCAAAATTAGGCAACCACGTAGCAGTCGCACTGCCGAATCTTCAGCCAAGGAAGCGGCTGGACTAAGAATTTCGGGACCCAGTGGCACCTACGGCCTGATGACTTTGACGATTGAGGAATAAGCCAAATGTTACACCCATGCTTAATCCCTAAAGAGATGGGATGGAATCAAATGATGCAATTTTGCCAGCATCGCCCTGGGCGACCCTGGGAAGCTGGCGCCGCGAAGAAATATCTGACGATGACCAGGAAAAATCTACGCTTAACAGTAGAATTTCTGACTGGCCACTGTCTATTAAGGAAACACCTACATAATATGGGGCTAGTGGACACACCTCTATGCAGGATGTGTGAACAGGAAGATGAGACTGTCAGGCATGTCCAATGCAAGTGTTCGAAGTTATCGTCAATAAGTGAGTGTGTGTTCGGCGAGTCTTGGCCTACACCTGGCGATATAAAGGAGATGTCTCCCAGTGTCCTGTCTACCTTCCTGGAAAGGACAGGATGGATGGTGACCTAGGAGGGCAACTCGGAAGGATGTACAATGGATCCCATGTGGCCTAAGTGCTGTTGGCTTACACTCATCCTCCCTACTCTACAGATACAAATACAGAGCAGTGAAAGCTAAAGTCGTATGATTTTGAATGTGAGGTTTCTTGAAATTATAAGTAAGTCTCATAGTCGCCAACTTGTTGTGGATACTAGATAATAAGGGAATCAAACACAATATTCCATCCTCTGACCCGGCACTTTTCTGTAGGCTTTTGAAAAGCCAAACATTTCGAACTTATTCAAATCTCTCATCAAAGCAGACCAATGAAAATCCATCCAACAATTTGTTATAAATCAAGACTTTCTGTTTTGAAGATAATCATGAAACAAATTCGTCTTAGTACCAAAGAATGCGAAAAAAATCACAAGCTGTAAATCAATAATTCATTTCGATAGCCGTTCCTTATTTTCATAAAGGAAATTGCTTGACGCGTATTATGAATTTAAAGTACCTACAGTCTGCTTGTCAAGCTAACCACATCATTTCGTCATTATTACAAACATATTTCATTGTCATACATCTTATTTGTGTAAACATTGAGAATCTGTATTATAAACTAAATATTTATGCGAAATGACTACCAGCAAATGAATATTAAAGTTTGACCCTGACCGGAAGAATCAGCGTCATTGTTTAATGTGTATTGAATCATTACAAGGGAACTTGTTTTGTCCTCAAATGTCAATGAACCGTTTATGGTCACTACTAAGTACCCATTTTCATTCATTTCACATGTTAGTTGTATCTATGAACTAGCATGACTTTTGATATCGTGCCACTTTTTGATTTTCAATTTTATACCGAATGAAATTTCCCGAATATCTCAGTACAACACTAACTTTTCAAATTTTATTATTCATTGACGCTGATAATTATAATGACCAATGTTTTTTATGAAAAATACTTACAAAATATTATTAGGTACAAACATTTATTCTATAATGTTCTGTCATTTGAAATTTTAATGAATTTAAAGAATATCATCGTATTCCTTGACACACTCATTATGAAGGAACGACATGAGAAGAACATATAAACTATTTAAATCTGAAAAAACGCATGCTATCAGAACCACTGACCTTTTATTTTTATGTTTAGGCCATAATTTTGTTCTTTATTCCAGAATTTTTTGCTCTTCATTCAACGGAGATATCGTAAGTTCTGCTAGCTTAACATTAGGATTGCAGAAGACAACCACAGAATCAGGGTATGTTATACTTTCAGGATCATTTTAGGCTCATATTGCCAGTGATTTTCAGTGGCAGTCATTAAAAGCGCTATATAATCCTTTTGAGATATAACAAAATAATTTACTACATATTTGTTCTTCTTTCGTAGTTCAACAGAAAAATACTTAGTGGCATATGCCTATCTTTTAAAGAGAGCTTACTATAGGTACCAATATTGAAGTTGAAAATGATGGCAACACATAAATTGCTATTTGAAGAGCTATTTAGACTGACACGATAAACCTTATCAAATTACTACATTAGTTACCTCAAGCATTTCATTCACATGTATATAATTTAAATTATTATCTTGGGAGTTATCGTAAAAGACGTGCTAACGTTTCGAATAGGCTGAACTAAATTCAAGGAGCCTCACACACACACCCCCGATGCGACACACGTGATTAAGAAAAGTTACAATTGCCTTATTTTAGTTTAACTTAGTGATCCACTTCGAAGGGCGGGGTTGTATTTTTGTTTTGTATTCTCTGAAGGTACTTAACTATGTTAAAATTGGGTTGTCCAACCCTACGACGGCCGTATCAAAATAAAATAGTACAGAACATTGGTTCTAGTCCAATAAGAAATATAAATTCAATCGATAAAGATAACCTGAAGCTAGAGAAAGTTCAAAAGTTCCAGTTGGATAACACCAACCAATAAGGCAATCCATTTGAAAAGGAAATGGCTTCACAAGTGAAAAATTGACACCTATTTTGTGAAAATGTCTCTATCCATTATAAGCGGTTGACATTTAGCTTCAATGTCTTTTCCTTTACAAACGCCACTGGGAGTATTAACCTTTACAAGCAAATAGCCGCAATAATCATTTTGTATCAAGATCCCAATCTGACTGGTTCTGATTTGTATTTTCGAAGGTCAGGCTCAATGTGTCTTAAATACTTCATGACTTCGTTAAACATTCAGTAATGGTTAAAAAAATGTTTCTTGATCATAAACGGAATAACTTATGATGAAATGGAGTTTTTTTATTATTACTTGAATAAAACTGACATTTCGATTTGAAATGCTTTTTAAAATTCATAAGGATTTAATAATCCCCCAGGGATATTTAAAAAATTAATGTTTCAAATGTACGCACTAGGAATCACACGTTAAAAATTTAGATCACGTTCATTCTTTGCTCGCACAATTTTCGATTTCCGAGAGTAGTCGTTCGTGGGTGGCGACACCTGGTTAACGGAACCATAGATAGTTTTTTTATTTTGTAAAAATTGTCCATCTATTTGAAGAAACTCAAATCCTTCATACATCATATTTTCCATAAATAATAATAGAACTGAATAAGGCCCATTACCAAAATTGTTTTTCCATTACCTCATGCCTGGCTAAATTTTCACCTCATCATTTGGTTGTAATGCAAACGTCTTTCTTTGATTATCACTTTTAGATAATTTGCTTAGAAGACATTATTAGTTTTATTTCAATCTGGTCTGGTTTTATATTTAGGTCAACATAACTGCCATCAATTTTCAACTTCACCTTAGAAGCTAAAAAATGTTCTAACCACATCGAGAGATATAGAAATTTAAGATTTTTAGGTTAGAATTCAATTGGCAGAGCTTAACTTAGCTTAGAAATCCTTGGAGTGAAGAAATCTGATTAAGCTTATCATTAAATATCAGTTCAACAGTGGTGCAAGATGATATTGCAAAGCCTACTTCATTTCATCATATCATCATCATTTCATCATATAATATTCAAAGGAACACACTTGATCTCGACTTTAGTTCTGTTTTTTTAAATATCAAACTGTTAAGAATATTAAAACTGAAAATAAATTAACACCGTTTTGTCATTTTACAGCTGGTAAATGAAAGACATTTTAACCGGCCAACGTTTCTATTTTGAGGTTAGAAACCATGTTCATAATTCACTCACAGTGCGGACGTAAATAGTCCCCGACCACAAAAATTTATATTGAAAGGTATCATTTTTAGTATATTTAGTAAGTTTTAGTTTTGAAAATGTAAGCAGCCGTCCCTGTATAATTAGCAGTTTTATATTCGTTGTGAGAATCTGAAAAAAAACATCTCCAGTTTTTCCCACGAAATTAGCCTTGGAATAATCATAATGTAAGAAATAAATTAGTAAACAGGCTTCATCATTGTCAAATAAAAAAGTATTTTTTGAGTGAATCCTGTTATGGTGCTGCATGTTTCATAAAAAAATCACGTGAATACGTTTATTTCTCAGGATTTTTCTGTACAGCCTGAGAAAATTACACATGAAATTGCTATTAAATAACTGCATACTACCTTGATCATATCCAAGTTACACATTTTTTACCACTACACTAACCATCTGAACCACAATTATTTTCAACTACAAAAAATTGCTCAGAACTCACTGAGTGTTCCACTGGGTATGTACACATTGCCTGAGGGTGTCCTCACTAGGCAAGATGGCTCGAAATCTTGTGCGGAGTCTGAGAGGGGCGCCGAGGCCAGTCTTCCGTTCAGTCGACTCATTGTTGGATTTCTCGGAGGTACATCAGGGGGGCGTGGAATTCCGTCTAGAAGGCAACCTGTAAAAATGAAAAAGTCATTATTGTATCGACTTTAAAAAACAATTATCGGAACAAATAGGTTGGTGGTGTGGAATTTCACTCGAGGCTTTTGGTGGCAACGCGTGACGTACAACGTACAACCGCCCGATTGTCTTCATAATTCGTTTCTAAGGAATAACTTAATCGTCATCAAAGAAAGTGAATTGGTCTTACAAATATTTAAATCTGATTCATACAAGACCAACCTCATCCTGATTAATCCAAGGTTACGGGAGAAGGAAATATTAAGAGCAGACTTGCCTAGGAACCTATGCGACTGTATTTCAAGCGAAAATTTACGCTATTGAATTGTGTGCTGAGAGATTGGAGAATTCAACCTCATACACAAGTCAATAAAAATATTCTCGGACAGTTAAGCGGCGTTGGCAGCTCTTGGCTCCTACTAAGCAACGTCTGAATTGGTAGCAAATTGCCAAAAACGACTCTCCTCGATAGGAAGACTCAACAGATTGTCTCTGGTCTGGATTCCAGGCCATAATGGTCTGCAAGGCAATGAGGCTGCTGACTCCCTTGCAAAGGAGGGTGCGGCAAGGCAGCTTCATCGGACCAGAACTTGTCATTGGCATCGCTTTAGGTTTTGCCAAACAAAGATTGAACACATGGATTGCAAGAAGATTTATGGACTTCTGGCAGAATCTCCCAGGATTGGCTCACTCCAAGGCGTTTATTCACCCTTCGAAGCTTGATACCAAACAGTTGTTGGACTACAGTAGGGATGAACTGCGATGTCTAAGAGGCCTTCTTACAGGTCATTGTCATTTGAATCATCATATGCAGAGACTCGGACTGTCGGAAGATAGTGTGATGAAACAGCAGAACACATATTTTTTGCCTGCCCCGCTGGGGACCTAATCAGGTTTTTAGAGTTCGGCAGAGCCGTACTTTTACCATCTGACCTGAAAGACCACTTACCAAAACAGTACTTTCTGATATTTACTCGTAAATGCTTTGGTTTTGGGCTTTGGCTTCATCTGGTTGGTCACAAATCGATCTATGGAAGAGAGTAAATTGAAATGATCCTGTTTCAGTTCATAAAGAAAAAATCAGATAAATTAATAGAGTAATTCTCCTTTTTTTTAAATCAAAAACTATGTCTAAGACAGTGATGTCTTAGACTTGCGAAGCATACGCCTTGATAGTTTATATTTCTATTCAAAAAATTGTGAGGCTACTTGGGGCCTATTACTCCCACGCCAAAATGACACACAGACCTTTCGATTGCCAAGAATATATCTATAATACAGGGAAGAAGTTACAAAGCCTTTGAGATGTTCTTCAGAAGCTGTTGGGTATTTCAATGAATTCTAAAGGGAGAAAGAAGGTAGAAAGGATGATGGAAAATAGAGAGAGGAGATTGGAAGAAAGAAACACAGAGGGAAAACAAAGAGATATAGGACGAAAAAAGGAAATAGATCTCCCAGTATAGGTAATGATGATACAACTGGAATAGCTATTTTGCTGTTTAGGAAAGAAATAACTCCTGAAGATAAACCTTTTTCTTAAGCATTTTTCAGCGTTAATCCCAGCGTGGATGATGTGAAAATAAATCGTCAACAAAATTGAGAAAGAAAAAAACATTTGATATAAACAAGAACATTTAAAATTTCTTGAAGCAACAAGAAATATTTTATTCAAACAAATTTAAAATCACCGATAACATCAATATCATGTTTGGAAATTGTATTAGAATTAACCAATAAGCACACAAATAAACAAAAATAGCACTCTATTTGGAATGATAAGTGCAATCCAAAATAGATAACAGGTCAGCCCGATCAAAAGTGTGTCCATATCTACCCTCCGATAAGCTCATTATTTCTTACCCATTAGATACAGTCAGTATAAATTACGCATAGGAGTTTAAAAACAATATCTATCCAGGATTTCATTAAATTCCGACATTGAAAAAACAATAAAAACTGAATTCTTCTTAATTTATGGGAACATGCTTTCAGATATATTTAAATTAGAGGTATGTATCTATATCGGGCAACTGCGGCCTGAATAATTCAGAAATATAACTTTTCCATATTCTAGAAAACTTCTCAGTTTTTTCAAAAGGAATTTCTTTGACATTTTTGGAAAATTTGCTGAAATAATTATGGGGTGGAATTAGGAGACATCAGAGGAGTTGTAATTTTTGAGATTGTTATTATTTTCCTTTAAATAAGCTGGACTTTTGAAATTATTTAGTATCAACGATTTCTAGTATCAATTATATCTTCTCTTACTACATTGAAATGTACTGGACGAAAATGAAATACATTCTAGAAAACTATACTTTTTCGTTATATGATTTTTCAGTTTCTTTATCACAGAAGTGCTATTCATATACTCATTATTGTTCTCAAAGAAGTGAGACAGGTTTTTTTGTATTAAATTTGAATAATCTATAGTATCTATTCCAGAAATCTTTGAGGTTCTTTAAACTGAAAAAATTGTTTTTTCCGTTTTCTCTGATTTGTTAGGAAAATTATGTAATTCTATTTAATGATTCAACCATGATTTTATTTTTTTTTCAACATTTTGTATGTGTGCAATCCCTTACTTTCATCATTAGTTTTAAACTCTATTTCAAATTAGTAAAGATGTTTGAGAAATTTTAATTGTTTTATAACGTTCCTACCACAATGTGATATCATCAATTATGTTACTGAGGTCATATAATATTTTTCAATTCATTGAATACGGATATGACAAAAAATATTGTGTAATTCATAGCTTTTTATGTTTACATTTCACTAGTCAGTGGTCTAAAAGTTTAACCATATGTGTTACGCAAACTTGATCTTCTAAATTTCTGTCTTAAGTTAACACAGTATCTAATAATGTTATAGATATGTTTTTATAGGAGTGGTTTCATTAATATTAGAACTCATAAATCAATATTTGGATATCGTCCAAACTATGTATCGTGCTCAGAAAAGTAGCTGCTGAATTTTCTGAAGCATAGATGGTTTTATTGAGTCTTCTACAGAACTTTCTTCCCTCCACGGAAAACATGGTACCTGTACATGCTTTTGTTCTAAATATTGTTTTCATCTGAGATTTCCACAATTTAGGAGAAAATTTTTCACACAAGCGAGTCCTTAAGGGAATTGAATACATGACAACTGGATATATGTGAAAAAATGAAAGCCGTTATTATTATTATTACTATTATTATTATTATATTCAAAGCTTAATCCTTTATTTGTCGTTAGATTTTCACTCGACTGATCCCTTCTAAAATGCTTTCCATATAAATTGTTTTTCTGTGAACTGATATCCGAAACGTCAAAATCGAAATTAAACTGAAATGAATCCGTAGCAACGCAAAAGATGGAAAAGAGCACATAAAATTTGTTTCAGTTTTTGTTCTGATTGGTTGTATTTAAGCACATCATCTTTATCATCGTCATTGCCGTTCAATTTCTTCGGATTATAGTCGAAGCTTGCGCTTTCAATGTCCTATTCTCTTTCCATTGTTTTAATTTCAATACTTTTAGGTCCTGCTTAAAACTGTTTCACCATGCTCCCGGTTTCTTTCTATTTACTGTATTATCATCTCTTTCATTATCTCATAACTTTCTTTTTAGATGGGCATTTTGTTTCTTCTACCCCTTTCTTTTCCACTTCATTTCTTTTTCCAGATGACTTCAATTTAATTACCTCCTTTATCTTTGAATATACAATCTCATATCTTGGAACATTATTAGCAAACAACCAACTGTGGATTTTCAAATGGCTTGATTATTGTTCATAAAATTTTCGCATTTTTACTTTCTTCAAGTAAGTAGATCTAAATATATTTATGAATCCCTGAATGGAAAACGAACAAGTTGGGATAACTCGCTACATTCAAAAAAACCTGATGAAAAGATGCTTCGAGTTGAATCAGACCCAACATAAAACTGTTAGAAACGAAATAGTCTAACCCGCAACATGCAACTTCTAGATAAGCCACGAAGCAACTATACAGAAGTGTCTGGTCTGTATTTCCATTAACACCGCTTTCAAGAGCTTTATTTCCAAACACAATGATGGAAAATCGTTAACAAAGTTTTAATGTGGTAAGGGTAGAGAGAGGAGAGGTAAATGGATGCGTTTCATTAGATATGCGTAGAAGAAAGAATGTGTAGTTTGTATATGTCTACTGAACACACTGACCTATTTTCCCAACTTCACAGCTCAATTTCGAAGGAGTTTGTTTACGATGAGAGTAAATAGAAACCGAGAGTGGTATTATAACTAGCAAAATGTATGTTAAATACTCTCACTTTGCATATAATATGCTATTTCTTGATATTGAATGAGGTAATTGATTTGTTAATTTTCCAGATTTTCACTGAACAGTTTACAAAACCGCAATTCTTATTTAAATATGTAATAGCTCCTTTAGGCATGTCAATAATTCATAAACACAAATATATAGTGAAACCCGTATTGCGCTCTTTTGAACTTTTTTTTGTAAAAAAACTCGCAATAAAGTGTATTGAGTATGTTTTTTTTCAACAATTTTTCGAAAACTTCTCAACGGTACTACTAACTTTGAAGACACATATCAAGTTGTAGAATTAAAGGCTATTACGGATCACATCTTATTGTTACCGTATCACAAGAATATGGCATCCAGTGGCATCATATAGATATATAGGTACAGTAGTAAATGTTGAGTCAGGAAGAGTTCTTCAATACTTGTTTATTAAATATTATTGATAATCATGCTTTTCTTCGTTCGCCCACTAATCCCATCTTCCTATTTTGAACATTTTCTGTATTATCAAGTCATTGAATTTCGATATTGTTTTTTTGGTAACTCATACTCAGTCTTCACAATCTCGTATGTTTTATTATCATTGATGCTAACTGGATTCTATAAAATCTTACTTGAAATTTTTCTTGAGAACTGATTTGATCAATTGTTTTGCTTTCATCTATTATTTTTTATATAATTACATTGTTTCATCATCAGGGAA